ATTGGACCCGATATCTTTCAAACCTAGCACTCCACTAGGTCTCGGGAAAAGGTCTTACTGGCACAGCTCGCAAGGTTCGGATAGCTCTCTTCCACCCCACCCCATCCCCAAAAAAGGAGAGGAAAGAATGGAAGTGGGGTGAAGGTGAAATAAATCCCAGCCGGCTTGTAAACATCCTAGGTCGGGCCCGCACGGTTTAAAAGCCGGTTAATTTCGAGTGTTCACGTTACAGGAGGGCCCGCAGCCTTGCAAAGATGCTCTGGAGAGTCAATAGTCCACATTGTTGCCGGAGTAGGACTCATCCATCTACCCAGTTTTGTCTCCCGTACCTTCTTGAGGCCAGGTCACTGTCCCAACTTGGACCTGGACTTCAGACTCCATTCAGGTCTGTGGGTACTGCGGGGGCCCAAGAATCTTCGTCCACTCCCATCCCACTGTATTCTTCTGGACCTGACCCTGAGCCCTGACCCACACGGCACACCCCGCTAGAGTGCACTCGGCTGAGCTTGGATGCCTAAGGTTCTTTGAGTCCCGGGGCAGAGACTAAAGACCGGGTCTGCCGGGAATACAGGGCGGGAGCTTCGCTCAGGCCTGGCCTCCACGCCAGCTCCTACCCCGGGCGGATGCCTCTGGGCGGCGGGCCGTGCGCGGCGGGATGCTGAGTGTCTGTGCGCGGGGCCGCCTATATTTACACCCAAAACAAAATAATTACACTCTTGTCGGAGGGAGAAAGCCAGTGATTAGGCGCAGGCTCTTTGCGGCAAAGCAGTTTCTCAGTGGTACACCAGTATAATTTTTCACGGCTGGCTGAAATCAAAGAGGGGAAGTAATGAATCCGGAGAGCAATTTAAATTTACAATTTGTAACGCCGCCGCCGCGCAGACCCGGCCGAGAGCGCAGCTCCCAGGCGCTCGCTGCGTTTGTTTAATGTTAAAGCTTCGCTGGCTCTTGGGGGGAAGGGGGGAGATAAGGATGCGTGATGGGGGGGGGGAGGCAAAAGATCGAGATCGGGAGAGAATTGGCTGCTGCGACACTTAAGATACTTCCGAAAGAAAAGGGCAAGGGGCGAACCTCCTGGATCCCCCCAGTCCCCCAGCCCCGGCCAGCGCCGGGCCTCCAGCCTGCCCATTCCCAAATAAATAAATAAATAAAATGAGGACAAAAAACAAAAGCAGGCTAATCAGCCCATTCTAAGAGGGGGTAACGACTTAAGAAGACTTAGAAAGACTCGGCGGTCTGAGAAGGCCGGCCTCTTTCTGGCTTCTTCGAGGCTTGAGGAGAGGAGCAGAGGTGCGGTGCGGTGACCCAACCGAAATGTCCTGCTCAGCCGGCTCAAGAGGCACCGCCTTCCTCCACCGCTGTCCAGTGTCCCCAACTGGAGACCGGGAGAAAGACACCCCCACGCCCAAGCTTTCCGGGCCTTGAAACTCCCACTCCAGCCGGGAGGTGTGCGTCTCTTCGCCAGTAATTAATTACCGAACTCAAGGGGGAATATGCAAGGAACATTTTACTAACTCTACAGGGCTTAAGTGATTGGAAACAGATTATTATCTTGTTTGTCTTTTGTCTGTTTCATTTATCCCCGCACCGTCTGTCGAGCTGTAATGTTGATACTCTTTACTCTAGAAGGGAGATTTTTATATAGTAAATTCCATCAACATCTTGTATAAGTGACATTGAGTCTTGGCGCATCACCCTGTTAAGACACAAGCGTTTATTAGTTACATATAGGAGGGAATTTCACTGCCGGGCGGCCATCTGTCAGTGTTGTTAGGGTGGGATAATATATAAAATAACAGGTCTGCTATTTTCCCGGGTGCTATAGTGGAGTAGAGAAAGCTGCCATAGCTGCTAGGCTGGCATGGGGGCGGGTTCTGTAAGTGGGGCTGAACTGTGTGAGTCCAGTGAGGCACCCAGGTGACTCTGAGGGCAGTAACTGGGGAAGTCCTCTGAGCCCTTGCCCGCTTCTCTAAGCCCAACCAATCCTCTCAGGCCACAACCGATGGCTCAGCCCTAGGTGGCCCACCCACAGTCAGCTTTGAGGACCCCCTGGGGTAGTTGCTCTCCGCTACAGTCCCCTCCCTGGCCTGGCATTCGCTTGCTGGAGTATGGCTGCACATTGACATTCAGGAACATTCCAGAAATGAGCTGATGGGTTTGTCCAAGAGTGGAGAATCAGCCAGGGCTGGCTGCACAGAACTCTGACTTGGGATACAGGAGAGGGTCTAGATTCTTCGGGGTGACTTGAGGGAGTATGTGGCCACAATTGGGGGGGGGCTGAGGAGGGTTGAGTGACTGTCTCCACACATCTAGGCAGCCACGCAAAATGGGAAGCGGTCTTTGAAGTGGTTTTGATGGATGCCCAAATCAGGGCAAAAAGTCATAGGGAAAAAGAGAAAAGGAGAGGGAAAGAAAGAAAGAAAGAAAGAAAAAAGGAAGGAAGGAAGGAAGCAAGGAAGGAAGGAAGAGGGGAAGGAGTAGGGCCAGGAAGACAGGAAGTGAGAAGCCGCTAAGCTAAAGAGGGGAGCACAGGAGACTCTGGGGAGATGGGGGAGAACTCTAAAAGACAAAGGCAGAGGGCAGTGGGCTCGCCTCAGCCCAGAGCCCGCAGGGCTCCCCTCTACTCTGTTTCTCCTGAGTCCTGTCCCAGCCCAAAGCCCTTTCATGCCCAGGCAGCACCCAGCAGTCCTCTGAAGGCTTCTGGAACCCCTCTCCAAAGGCCTAGGAGACCCAAGTTCGATCCAGCTTGCTGGGTCCCCCTGACAAACCAGTGATCAGGTGACAGCCACATACAGAAGCTACCGGAGTTGGGGGCGCCCTTTGCCAAAGGTGCAGCTCATGGGCCTCCCCAAGTCTTTTTTCCCAATCCATGAAGATAATCACTGCTAGTGGTACACATACAAACAGCCCCCCAGCCCTCCAAGAGTCCCTGAAAAATAAAAAACCCCTGTCCAAACACACTCACACACACACTCACACACACACACACACACATCTACAATTCTGTGCCCAAGATCACACAGCCCATCTCAGTCGCACACACAGGAACACATACACACTTACACAGACACATACTCAGACACTAAGCACACGCATAGGAGTGATCTTACACGCTCACCCTTTCACAGACAAGCACGTCCTCTGACACCCACTCACATAAGCAAACACAGATAGACACAGACCGACAAATCATTTTAATGCACACATTAACACACAACGTAAGCAGGACCACAAGAAATTATAAACAGGAAAATTTACAGCAAAAAAACCCCACATAATCAAAACCCCTCCACATCCCGAGGTTTGATCACGAGGAACACACTATAAATAGAATAAAACGATAGTTTTCAAGCAGCGCATATATAACTAACAAACTCAGTAAATACACCCAAACAAACATCCACAGCCAAGTCTTGGCACAAATCCTCTCTGGCTCCAACCCTTGGGCCCCAGCCCCACAATATCAGCGCTCTTCCCAGGAGCAAGCAAATATCCAGAAACACGTACCTCAGCGTACCTCACCCGAAGCAAGCGGTGGCCAGGCTGACCAGGCAGAAACAAGGCCTGGTATCTTTTCTATCCCCATCTCAAGTCCCTTTACTCCGCTCCAGGCCCATGCACCCACCCACCCCACCCCACCCCCGCAAACACCTGCCGGCACCCCCACACCTGCGTGGCTGCCTTTGGCCCTAGGATCAACCGGGAACCCAAAGCCCTCGGACTCGGGAGTGCCGATGGCGCCCGGCAGTGACCAGCCTCCCTTGCTCTGCAGAGTAAACTCACCTCGGTTCTTGCCAGGCTGGCCTGGAATAAGGACAGTTTGACCGAGAAAGACGTAGTGAGTGTCACCTTCTATCTACTTGCCCGAACACCCATCCGAGGTAGATCACCCCCTTCTCCACACCTCCCCTAGAGCGGTTGAGCTGGGCACTTAGACTTGACGTTCGGGATTCTCCGACTAGGCCAGTTACTATATACATATATATCTGATCCAACCTGGCTGGGGTGGGGGTTGGGGGCACATAACTACCCAAGCTTCCCGCCTTCACTCTCTCGCTCTCTCGCTCTCTCGGTGAGAAAAGCCTGGCTGGGCCCCAGCCCCGCGTTTGACAAAAGAAACCACAGCACAGGAGACCGGCTGGGTCTCAGTTCCTGCGCTCAGAGCCTGAGCGAGCCGCTGTCCTACGCCAGGGGGAGCTGGGCGGGTTCGGAAGCAGGGGACTACACCGCACTCCCGGCCTGGGCAACTTCTACAGGTTGCGAGGGTGGCAAACTGGGTGGGAGGTCCCTCCCTGACCAGGCCTTGGAACCCTGCCCCCAAAAGGTATTTGTGACGAGAGAGGTTTTTGGATCGCACCCCCACCCCTCTAGCCCCAAAGTGGAAGGTAAATACTTACTTAGCTTCGGAACCAGGTACTAGCAAATACTCGGCAATACTGATGTCTTGTTTTTTTTGCTCTGTCCTGACCGCAACGCTGTAGCCAATTTAGATATGCTATAAATTTAAGAGGTTGCTATGGCCACGGCGCGCCCATTGGCCGCCCGGCACCCTACGTGCTGCACCACGTCACCAAATCTGAATAAGGATGCGCGAATTAGGCGGCGGCCAGACAAAGATGAGGATCGGGACCGCTTGAAAGTGGGGGAAAGTGCCGGCGCCTCCGCCAACCGGGAAAGCCGCTCGCCAGTGCCGGAGCCAGCAGCCGCGGAGGACACCTGCTCTATGCTGGAGCGAGCGCCCGGGCGCGACCGGTGGCATGAGGCTGTGACCGCCGCCGCCCTCCACGCCACTCTAAGCTGCGCAGCGCCAGGCCAGAGAGGGTCGGAGGACTTGACCCCTGGAAGTCTTGGTTGATCGTATCAGACTCGCCCCTGACGAGGCCCAGAGACCAGGGAGGCTGAAAGCCATCGCAGCGGGGACCGAGAGGCCCTAAGGGCCCAGGGGCCCCAAGGAGGACGAGGCGGCACGAGGCGGCGCGAGCCGCCCGGGACGCGCGGCTATGATGGTGCACTGTGCCGGCTGTGAGCGGCCCATCCTCGACCGCTTTCTGCTGAACGTGCTGGACCGCGCGTGGCATATCAAATGTGTTCAATGCTGCGAGTGCAAAACCAACCTCTCGGAGAAGTGCTTCTCCCGGGAGGGCAAGCTGTACTGTAAAAACGACTTCTTCAGGTAAGAGGCCCCCACCGCGCCCTGCTGCCTACCACTGACTGGCTGTAGCTTCACCGGGGCACCTCGGGAATTAGGGGACCAGGAGACCCACCCCAGTTTATAAGGGAGGCAGATAGGCCTCTGTCCCCCTCAAGCCCTGTCGGCGGCTCCTGGCAGAAGGACGTTGCTTGGCTGCCTTACCTTGGGTCTGCCAGGCAGCAGAGAGCGGCCAGATGGCAGAGGCAGAGAGCTCAGCAACTTGCTCCTGGCCCTTTCCCCACACCTGAGTCCCCAGGACAGAAGCTTCAGGACCCGCGTCCCCACATCCCAAAGGTGCTCTAGGAGTTCTGATCAGCTGGGGCTTCACGTTCCCAACAGCAACCCTGAGTCCAGAGGGTAATCTGAGGACCTACAGAAACTTCCTAGTTCCAAAGGGCCCCAGCCAGGAAGGGCTCTTCTGAATAAGGGACAGAGGACCTTCCCGGTGCCCCCCACCCCCACTCCTGATCCATTTTCTCCCTAGTTGAAAAGGCACTGAAGAAATGGAGGCTGAGAATCAGCAGGTCTGTTCTGCTATGTGTGTCACCTTCTTTCTCAAGTCCATATGCCCCCCCCCAGGCTGACCAGGATCCGGTGCCTCTGTGGGCCTCAGTTTCCCCAGATGGGAAATGCTAAGGGACAGTCTAGAAACCAGTGGTGTTTTCTGATAGCCGCTTGCTACCACCGGACACCCTGACTGGCTTTGTGAATCTGAATTCCAGGCACTGAGGGGGCGTGATTAGCTCAGCAGAGGAGAAAGGCAGCCGCCTGCCCCAGTGGCCGGGCACTTGGGAATTTGAATAGGAGAGAATGTCAGCCGCGCCTTTACACGTGTAAACTCCCCGGCCCCGGAGGCCCTGGCGCCCCTAATGTGGCATGCTTGCAAAGCACCTAATGATTTTTGATAAGGTGTATATAGCCAATTATGCTGCCGGATAAGGGCAAAAGTGACTTATGGTCTCTAATGCCCTCACTACATCAATGTCACCCAAATTCACTCTGTTTAGAGACACAGGTGTGAGTGGATGGCATGGCCCTCCCCCTCCAAGGTTCTGAGCCCTCATCTTCCTCCCCACACAACCTATGCTCCTTCCTGTGCCTACTGTAGGGGGAGGGGGCACTTTCTTCTGAGGAAGAAAGAAAAGGGATTGGTTCAGAGGCAAGTGAAAGGGGGCTTTGGAGTGATCCCAGGTCCTAGCAGAACAGGACTCAAGGTGAACTTCTCTCCTCATTCCCCCACTGCCTGCTAGGGCCAGAGATGGGGGAGGAGGGTTGTGTACAGAAACTGACTTCCTGTTTCCAGAATGTACTCCTCTGAGAGCCTCTTGTCCCCGACTGGGGTGTGGGGGTCCAAGTAGGTCTCCCAGGTAGCACTGGAAGCCAGAGGAAGGTTCTGGCATTCATTTCTGCTCAGATTCTACACCCTGCTGCTAAAGGCCGACAGTGGCGGTCCTATCTGGGACAACCCCCTTCCTAATCCAAAAGGCAAAGCTAAGAACGATAGAAGCCTAGCCTATGGGCTTTAAACCCTTTGTGGGCTCCTGAAACCGCCGAGGCAGGTTTGGTGGGGACCTGAGGGCAAGGGACACATCTTGGGACAGCCTGAGCCCTTGCCTGTCTCAAAGCTTGCACTTCCAGCTCTTCTGGCCACAGCCCCATAGAGCTTGAATCAACACACTAAAAGCAGGGCCACCTGGCCCCAAACCAGCCCTGACTAGGGAGACCAGAATTAAGATTCCATTTGACAGATATGGAGATAGAGGTGTCTGGGAAGCCAGAGTGGGTGGGAAGAGGCCAGCACTGGAGAGGACTTGGACACCAGGCCCACCTCCCACCTCCCAGTGACGGGCACATTGCTTCCCCAGGCGCTTTGGCACCAAGTGCGCCGGCTGTGCACAAGGCATCTCTCCCAGCGACCTGGTGCGCAAGGCCCGGAGCAAAGTCTTCCACCTCAACTGCTTCACCTGCATGGTGTGCAACAAGCAGCTGTCCACCGGGGAGGAGCTCTACGTGATCGACGAAAACAAGTTTGTGTGCAAGGATGACTACCTTAGCTCCTCCAGCCTCAAGGAGGGAAGCCTCAACTCAGGTATGGAGGCCGCTGCCCTATCCCGGCTCTCCTATTGACGCTCATACTGGGCTCCAGCAACCAGTCCACTCTCAGCCGTCACCCCTTGCCTGCTCCGGGGTGCTTCAGGGCTGGGGAGACACGAGCCTGTTCTACAGGAGAACCCCGAGCCAGGCTTTTCTCCCCTTCCCCAAATTTAGAACTGCAAAAACAATCCCCTTTAGTGTCATTTGAGATCCTGGTACATTTTACAAGGACCAACAGGCTCGTAGCTATTTGGAGGAAGGAGAACCCGGGGAGGAGGTGAGAGGGGACAGTGTGTATACCCTTCTCTGTCCCCACTACTGAAGAAAAGGTTCTCCAGAGGGTGCACCACGCTTCCCCGGGAGCTTCCGACTTTCGCTGAAGAGGTCCTCTCAAACCAAGACTGGCCTGGAGGGAGGGAGTGGGCGCTGAGTCCGGGGGAGGGGTGGTTCCTGCTTTGGGAGGGAACTCCACAAACGAGGCCGAGAGCCTGGGTCTTTAGGGACGGCTTTCTGAATTGGAGACAGATAGCGCTGACGCCGCTGTCCGCTACCCATTCCTTCCGCCCTGCAGTGTCATCCTGTACGGACCGCAGTTTGTCCCCGGACCTCCAGGACCCGTTGCAGGATGACCCCAAAGAGACCGACAACTCGACCTCATCGGACAAGGAGACCGCTAACAACGAGAACGAGGAACAGAACTCCGGCACGAAGCGGCGAGGCCCGCGCACCACCATCAAAGCCAAGCAGCTGGAGACGCTCAAGGCGGCTTTCGCAGCCACGCCCAAGCCCACGCGCCACATCCGCGAACAGCTGGCACAGGAAACCGGCCTCAACATGAGGGTCATTCAGGTAAGGCCAGTGGGCCAACCCTCCCGACCAACAGGCATGCCTCCCGTCGGGCAGCCTAGCCTTTGAACGCTCAGGACCTGGCGAGGGACAGTCAGGGCACCCGCTGTTGGGGCCGTCGGGGCACCCTTTGAAGGTGGGGAATTTTGAGCCAAAAGGTTTTGATACGGTCCCACTGTCCTAGCAATGTGATTTTTTTTTCCCTCTTTGGACGAGGTCGCCAGACATCTCTGAATTCGTTCACCCGGACTAGCTAATGGCTTAAGCCTCTCTGGCCTCCAAGACCCCTTCCTCTCCAAGCACAGAAAGGGGCGATGTCCTTGCTTCCTAGAGTTGGCAAACCGACAATCGGCTGGAGCCTGGCTCTGCAGCCGTGGGCGAGGGCTTGGAGGGGCAGGGGGCCTTTATGAAGCCGTCAGTCCTCCGGCAAGCCGACGACCAGGAAGCCGGGGTCTTTATGAGTCACCCCACGGGTCCGCGAAATCCTTCACCCTTGGCTGGTTCTCCGAAGCCCCTCTCCGCCCCTCCTGGACTAATCCCGCCCAGCCCTCGCCTGGGGGAGTTGTGCTGTACCCGAGGCGCTAGGACCCTGCAGGTCTAGCCTCAGCAGGAGAGGGGGGACATTCCTGACCCCAAGCTCACTGCCCGTTCCTTCGCCCCAGGTGTGGTTTCAGAACCGAAGGTCCAAAGAACGCCGCATGAAACAGCTGAGCGCTCTGGGCGCCCGGAGACACGCCTTCTTCCGGAGTCCGCGGCGCATGCGTCCCCTGGGAGGCCGCTTGGACGAGTCTGAGATGTTGGGGTCCACCCCGTACACTTACTACGGAGGTAAGGGGCGCCTGGGGACACTCTGTTATTAGCCCGTGCCCACAGCTATTCTGGGTCTCCTAGTGTTTTGGGGCCATAGTAGGGCAGCCTTTATTTTTTCCCACCCACGCAGGATATACACAAAGCCATTCCTAGACAGACTCATTAGCATAGACCACTCACCCACAGGCACACCCACACAGGACACATGGACTCACATACACCCGCTCGCAATCAGACCTCAGCGAAACAGCTAGACGTAGAGGATTGCAGACAACCACACACAGGTGTGGTCCACTCCCCTCAGAAGAGACCTACAGACCTCCTTCCCTGGTCACTCTGGGGCAGCGCGGGTAAATGCTAAGTACCTTTTACCGCCCACGTGGTCTTCCACTCTCCCTGCCGGGCGGCCTGGTGAGCTTAGGGAAGGCTGGAACCTCACCAGCCTGAAGCAGCTAGCTTCAAAGACAGCAAGAAATTCTGCTCTGCTACAGACACCCTGGGTTCCGCGTGCAGAAGACCCAAACGCCTGAATGGATCTAGGGCTCACTCGGGTCCAAGCAAATGGGTTGATCTAGAATGGGGTAGGGGAAGATGATGTTCCGGATTCATCTTTGGGTCCAGGTTGGTTTGCACGGACGACTTTCTGGACGCCGTTAATAGACAGACTCAAGCCTGCTTGCTCAGCCCTTGCTTGCCTTGTTCCCGGAACCAGTGTCCCATCCCAGCACCCTGGCTTCCTCCCAGCTCCTCGGCCTGGCTTGCCCCCGGGGTGGGGGCGGGGGGCTGCAAGACCGCCCCACTGTCCTTTGCATCTCAGAGCTCTCTGTGGTGAATGATGCACTACTCTGGATTCCCTAGCCTTCCGATCTGTGAAGTCACCCAGAGTGTCTAACCAATGGCACTGAGCTACCGGTCTGCTTGGGTCTCCAAACCCAGTTCGAGAGGCAGGAAGTGAATTCCCTTTAAAACGTGAATTCCGGGACAATGCCGGGGTGGAAAGGCCACGGAAGCCAGGCAACCCCGTAGAAAGGAAGAGAACCTCGAGCCTGACTTTCACCTGCGGAAGCCTGTGAAGTTAATCTGTAGACCAGGCCCAGGCCTCTGGAAATTGATGGCAAAAATACGTGAAATGGTGATTTTTTTTTTTAACGGGGTAGCGGGGACCCAGGTTGGGAGAACCGTAACTGTACGGTGATGGGCGTGTCCTAGGACGTCTAATCTTTCAGCCTAGCTTGTCCACTGCACAAAAAAATCTCAACCCGGAGCCGGGAGATAGTGGGGGCGGTACCCGCCTGGAACCCCCCCCCGGCCCCAACCTGAGTAATTAATCAAGGTTTTCAGGGGGACCAGCTCATCACTCACCGATTCTGCCAACCCCTCTCCCTGCAGGCCTGCTGGACAGGGTGGGGGACAGAACACCAGAACCCCTTTTTTCTCCGAAAACGGGATGGGGGCACAGGACTCCCCAACCCCCAGCCCAACAGCCCCGCCTAATCCGCACTGGGAGATGCCGGTGGCTGCGGCCGGCAGCGGGCGAGAAAGGGGCCGGGTGGCGGGGCCCGCGGCTCCCCGTGGGAGCTCGGACAAAGCCCCAGCTGCGGCTTTTGTGCCCTTTTCAGACAGCGTTTGTTCCAATTACCTCCGGCCCGGCCGCCATATGGGCGGAGGCGGCGCGCACGACTCCAGGGCCTTCTCTGCTTAGCGCGCTCCCTTTCCGTTCCTTTGAGGGCCCCCAAATTCGCCTCTCTCCACCTCCCAAACTTTCGGGATGGATGGAACTTGAGATTTTTCAAAAAATAATTGGCGGCCGTTTTAACTGTTACCTAAACTGCCTCTTCTCCAGGCAGGTCTCCAGGCAACCTCCCACCCCTCAGTGTTTCGGTAAAGGAAAAAAAAATGTGGGTGACCGGGCATACAGAGCTCGCCTGTGAACTCCGACCCAGGGACTAAACAAGGGAAGTGGATTTCCAGAAGAAATCCTGGCCAGCCTCGGGGATGCCGCTTTTCCCGCTGTACAAAGCGGGTTGTCCCTCCGATAGGCTTAAGGCAGTTCTTTTGTTGGGGTTCTGCACTCAATCGTGGAGGGGCCGATCTGGAACGGAGACCAGAGGGAGTTCACAGAAGCAATTCCTTGTCGCGGTTTGAGCGCCTGACCAGTGTGAGACACCCCTGAATTTGTGAGAAGAATGTGCGTTTATTTATGTCAACTCTAGCAAGGTCTCTGTCCCCAAATACTTCAAAATAACCTAGGTGTCCTAACAAGCTCCTCTGCGTACAGACTGGAGACCCGAGGCTCCTCAGCCCCACCCCAGGAACCCACAAGTGGTCCTGAGCTCGGATCCCCTGCCGGAGTCACTGAGCTGGGCCTTCTTCATCCCCAGCTCGACTAGGAAGGGAACAGAAGATTCTGAGACTAGCCCTGGCTCTGTGCCCTGTGCGCCCCGGGCCCAGGCTGCCTGCCCGCCGTTTTCTGTGCTCCGGCAGCTGACCGGTCCCGCTTCTCCCTCAGGGGCTGCATCCCTGATCTGAACCTCTTTGGAAATGCTTTAGAGCTACCACAGCCGCTTTGTTCCCGCGCTCCTCTCTGAGCCACCAAGCCTATGGCGATTCCTGGTCTTCTGGTCTTTTGTTTATTTGTTTGTTTGTTTCTCGTCTCCCTCCTTCCTGTACTTGCACTTTCTCATCTCTCCGCGGCCTTGGCTGTTCCGAGTGTGATGACATGTCTGGGGTTGCCCTCCACCGCCTCCTCCCAACCCACTACCGTCGCTGCGGATCGCTGTCTCTGGGGTTCATTTCTCACTAAGTCTTCCCTTGGCTCTGCACCTCTGGCCTCTGCGGTCCCTTTCCCCATCTCCGTGCGTATGGGAATCTGCGACTCCCCAGTCTTTCTCGCTGCCTGTTTCCCTCTTTGCTCCACGTCCTTGTAAACTCTGTGTCTCTCCAAGTCCCTCGGCCATTGCGGTTTTTCTCCCTGCCTCTCCCCAGCCTTACCCGTGGCCCCCCTCAGTCCCCTTCCATTGCCGGGGTCTTAGGCTTCCTCCCTTGGCCGCTGAGGGCCTCCTAAGGTCTCAGTCTAACCTAGGGTCAGTGGCATGCTCTCCCGTGCCTTCCGCATATCTGTACCCACAGCCCCATCCGTGTGCTCCCTGGCTTTTGCGCTCTCGGGTCACCTCTCCGAGGTCCCTGAATCCTGGTCGGCCTTAGTAGTTTGTCCTCATGCCACGTCTTATCCTTTGTCCCTCCCGCAGACTACCAAAGCGACTACTATGCCCCGGGTGGCAACTACGACTTCTTCGCGCACGGCCCTCCATCGCAGGCTCAGTCCCCGGCCGACTCAAGCTTCCTGGCAGCGTCGGGACCCGGCTCGACGCCACTGGGCGCGCTGGAACCACCGCTGGCCGGGCCGCACGGCGCGGACAACCCCAGGTTCACCGACATGATCTCGCACCCGGACACGCCTAGCCCCGAGCCCGGCCTGCCCGGCGCGCTGCACCCCATGCAGGGAGAGGTGTTCAGCGGCGGGCCCAGCCCGCCCTTCCCCATGAGCGGCACTAGCGGCTACAGCGGACCCCTGTCGCACCCCAACCCCGAGCTCAACGAGGCGGCCGTATGGTAAGGCCAAAGGGCCGGGCTGCCCCCTGCCATCGAGCCCTGAACGCTTCCTGGGTCACCCTCAAGAGTCCTCTCTTGGGTTCGCACCCACTGGGCAACTCTCGCATCTCCACCCCTCAGAGCTTCGGCGCGAGCCTGCGCAATTTCTTGGGACCAAAGTCAATATTCTGGAGGGTCGAGATTTCAAGCACACCCTAGATGCTCCCGGGACCCCCCCGCCCACCATCACCTCTTTAAATTAAGAGGGGATTGAGACCAAGGAGCGGAGACCGTGGCGCTACCCCTCCCTGCGAGCCGAGGCCATTGTGAAATCTTATTTCTCACTCTTTCTCTTAAAAAAAAAAAAGATAAGAAAGAGAGAGGTTGAAAGGGAGAGAGAGATGAGGAAAGCCTCAGCCAGAGAAGAAAAATAGACGACCGTTGGTGAATGGTGGCTTTGCTGGAAGACAAATCCACCTGCGAGTTGGCGCCCCCTGGTGGCCAATCCTGAGGCTCAAGGTCAGCTTGTTAAGGAAGCTGCATGGTCAAGACCAGGCCAGCCTGGGCCCCAACTCCCTGCTCTTCCATACCTTGAGCCTGAGGGGCTGGGCAGGATTCGAACCCTCCCACTCCTACTCTGCCCCCGAGGCAGGCGCCAAGTCGCTGGGCCTTTGCCCAAGGATCACTCTCCCTGCCCGGGGCCTGGAGGCTGGGCCATCAGGACAAAACAGTACTATACTTTTTTGGAAGTCGGACGCTTCTAGTTTCCTTATTTTGTATAAAGAAGAAACAAATAAAGTATGTTTTTGTGTTTACTGTTTATTTATTGTACTTAGTTATCTGGGACTGGACATTTTTATATTTTTAAGAGGAGGGTGGGGCAGAGTGGGGGACGGGAGCCAGAAAGAGGTTTACCAAAAAACCCCACAAAAATAACAAAAAAGTCAACTTTTTTTAAAAAAGAAAGATTAATAAAAAAATTCTTTTCTCCCTCAGCTCTGTGTGGTCTTTTTTTATCCAGCATCGTGGGAGTCAGGGTAGATGTCCCAACATCACAACTTGACAAGTATAAAGACTCCTCCCCCATCCATCAGGGCTGTAGTTCTCAACCTATAGGTTGAGACCCCTTTGGAGTCTAATGACCCTTTCGCAGGGGTCACCTAAGACCATCAGAAAACTCAGATATTTACATTAGGATTCATAACTGTAACAAAATTACAGTTATAAGGTAGTGATGAAAATAATGTTATTGTTGGGGGGTCACCAAACGTGAGTAACTGTACTACTAAAGGGTCAAAGCTGTAGGAAGGTTGAGAACCACTGCTCTGGGGGCTTTAGTTTTGGTTTTTTTCTTATTGAGTGGTTTCTTTTTTAATGATTTACTTATTTTTATTATATGTGAATTGATGTTTTGCTGCGTGTATGTCTGTGTGAAGGTGTCGGATCCCCTGGAACTGGAGTTACAGGCAGCTGTGAGCTCCCATTTGGGTGCTGGGAATTGAACGGGGATCTTCTGCTAAGCCCCTGGTGGTTTCTTTAATTGTGTGTGTGTGTGTGTGTGTGTTGTATGGTGTATGCAGTAGTCAAAGGACAACATATTGGGAGTCAACCCTCTCCTCCACTACATGTGTCTTGAAGATAGAACTCAGATCATCGGACTTGGCAGCAAGCGCCTCTATCAACTGAGCCTTCTTGCTGGCCCCACTTTGGGAGTTTCCATGGTGGTGGAGGATGTTCTCTCCTGCTTTTATGCAAACCACAAGCCAGCCTGGCATATAGTAAGCAGCCTCCAGGATGACTGAGGAATGAGCATACCAGGATACACCTGTAATCCCAACCTTTGGGAAGCTGAAGCAGCCGGCCCGGAACCCACAAAGACCCTAAAAAGAAAGGGGGTGGGATGGAATTCTAGATTCACCCCTATTTATATTGCATATCATTGCAGGTGGCTGAATGCAAAGGCAGAAAAGGGTACAGCCGTAGGAGCAGTAGGCACGGTTATCTCTAAGGCTGCTAGGGTGGAAGGGCCCTGGAGAGTGGGCCTTGGTTCTGCAAGCCTTGTGAAATACACGCTGTCTTTAGAAAAAGGCTAGACAGAAAGGGCTGGCTATGACTTTTGTTGTTGTTTTGTTTTGGTGAACAGAGTCTTGCTATATAAACCAGGCTAGCCTTGAACCTATGTCAAGACCTCCCTAGCATAAAGATTACAGGCATGCCCCACTCCAACTGATGCATGTGGTGGTGGGGATCGAACCTATGACTTCATACATGCTGGGAAATCACTCTACCCACTGAGCTACATGTCAGGCCGCTAAACATAATTTAGGGGACCTGAGGCCACGTCTCAAAACAAGCCTCTCTCCTCTCTGCCTCGGTTTCCTTATGTGGGGGTTGGAGAGGCTGTCTTTTGTCCCCTTCCAACTGAGGCCTGACAGGACCAGAAAGACAGAAACAATATGCCCTGTCTTTGGGTCCCTGTCACTCAAGCTCAGGTGAGAGAACTGGGCCATTTTGGCATTGGGGGCTGGGAGTGGGGGCAGACAGGGGATGGGCAGATGGCATTGGGGGAGTGGGGGCAGATGAGCTACTTGAAATGGGCACAAGGACAGGAACCTTCTTCCCCTTTTCTCTACAGCACTCAGGGCTTTGCCAGACAGCTGCTAGTTGCTCATTGTAGAGAATTCAGAGCTCAAATCAACAAAATGCAGAAAAGCCCATCACCTAGAATGCCAGGCACTGTGGGGAGGTAACCCTGCATGTGCTCCCAGCCTTTTCCCTTTTTCTTTTGAAACCCAGAGCTGTGTCCTCTGCATAACCATGGAGTCACCTGCTGGCTCAGAGCATCCTCCAGGTTCATGAATACATTCTAGACCAGTGGTACTCAACCTGTAGGTCATGGCCCTTTGAGGGACCCATACCAAAGATCTACATCATGATTCATAACAGTAGCAAAATTACAGTTATGAAGTAGCAATGAAAATAATTTTATGCTTGGGGGGTCACCACTACATGAGGAACTGTATCAAAGGGTCGCAGAACTAGGAAGGTTGAGAACCACTGCTCTAGACAGAGTCACATTTAGTCTCTAGTTCCTTGACCAGATGAACATCCTAGTTTGTGTGGGTTTTGCTGTTTGGATTTTAAACAAACCTATTGGGGATTTGCCTAGTTCCTGCTGGTTCACCAGCACTGGAATAAAAACCCTCACCACGGCTTCTCTGCAAGGGTCCTAGAAGGTGTTGTTTTTCCCGTCAGGATGCTAACAAAGGTCGAGGGACATGCCCAAGGTCATACAGCTGGGGAGTGGCAGAGATGGGGGGAACCTCACTCCACATATGTATCAGATTCTCTTTCTGCTCCTCTAAGATGCCCTGGCTGTGGTAGATTCTAGAAGCACTGTGTGTGGGGGGGTTATCTAGCCCCCCGTCTCTATGATTTTTATAAAGACACATGTTTAAAATGGTACTGGAAGCTTGTGGGGGGGCTCACTCCTCGCTTCTCTGACGACAGTCTGTGACTGCAGCTGGGGGATAGGGAAGGGAGGAAAAAAGAAGAAAGAATGCAGGAGGTAGGGAAAAATGGTTGAAAAGGAGAAGAGGATAAGGAAAGGGGAGAGGAGGGGGACTCAAGAGGGGAGAGAATGGGTTTGCTGTTGCGCAGGTACCCCAGCCACCTGTCCTTACACAAGGCAAGGAGCCCTATCTGTGGAGACAGCAGAGCTGGCATTGGGACCACCCTCCTGTTCCTTCTTCTAGGTGGGTATGAAACACATGTGCAAACCACACCACAGACATGTGTGGGCCACACATGTCCACACTTTCCCTTGCAAACACATGGACACCGACATTAGCACCATGCAGACAGGTGTTCAAGGGAACCCAGGTCAGCCCCTTCAGGAGACATATGCTCCTTAGAATGCATGTGTGGTAGGACATGGAGACACACGCATGCATTGCCTATGAGCATATACCCACCCACGGGCATGTGGCCATTCACACACACACACCCAAAGTGTCTAATCCACACACAGTGTGTCCTTGCACGTGGGTGTACACATCCCAGGGGAGCAGACAGCCCTCATTTAAGGGAATGACTGAACAACGCAGTAACCCATCACAATCTCAAAGGAGTTTCAGAAACCAGCTCAATGAGAGGCTCTTGGTTTCCAAAGTTATCTGTTTGGGAAACCAGAGGCCAGGAACTGTGCACTTTTCTGAGCCTCAGTTTGCTCTACTGTGAAATGGACTCAGGGTAATTTCATCCAAGGAGTGTGGTGGAGATTGAAGAGAAAGATTCAGAGCATTTGTTCCTGTGTTCAGACCCCATTCCCAACACTCACACACACACACACACACACACACACACACACACACACGTACACTCCCATCCTCACATGTACACACACCCACATACACAAGTACGTACACCCACAACAATGACAACTTAAAGAGAAAGAAATTCTCTAGAAAGCCTTACTTGGCCTGAATCACACAGCACCCCATGAGCTCATTTTAGCTTCCTGGATACCTTCAGGGCCCAGGAACACAGGAAGAAGAAACTCCAGCCTCACCTGCCCCAAGATAGTGTCCTGCAGGTGCCAGGAGAGGCTCAGGGACACCTGGTGGAGTAAAGTCTTGGAAAGGCTGGGTTAAGGAGGGGATATTGGGAAGGGTCATTTGTCTCCTAGAAGCCAGGAGTAATTTCTTGAAGGAGAACCAAAGGAAGACACCTGCTAAAATACCTGTGTCTTGGTCCTCAGCACCCATAGCCAGAGTGAAGCCCAAAAGTTCTCACATTCATCAAGCTCCAGAGGTCCCTAGGAACCCCCAAGGTTACGGGACTACAGTGCAACACTGCTCCAACTAACTCCTTAGCTTGTGTCTTCCTGAAGCATCAGTCCCCCTCCGGACAGGTGTCATCACTCCCGCTTTGCAGGAGGAGGCCCAGACCTAGCAGGTTCAGTGAGCTACTGGAGCCACACAACTGAGAAAGGCCAGAGCTAGTTCAGTAGACGGTTTGGGCTTTAAGACTCTATGTTGTCCCTGAGCCCAGAATGGGGCACAGAACAGCTGCCTACAGACTGCATTGCAGGGTGTATGAATGGAGGGGAGAGATCAATGGACTGATGAGTGGGTGGATGGCTAGATGCACGGAGAGACGGATGGACAGTGGGACTGATGGATGGATGGATAGATAATGTCTGGATGGAGGGAGAGACAGATGGGCAGAGGGATGAGTGGATGGATGGATGGATGCACAGAGGAAAAGACAGATGGATGGATGGACGGTAGATGGATGAATTAACAGAGGAAAGGAGAGATGAATGGACGGATGGTAGATAAACTGAGATAAAGGGATAGATAGATGAATGGGTGGATGGATGGATGGATGATGGATGCTGATAAATAAATGGACAGATGAAACTCAGCTGCAAGAAAAGGGACTCTTTGCTGGGCACGGTGGCACGTGCATGTAATTCCAGCTAATTGGGAAGCCGAGGCTGGAAGATTGCAGGCTCAAGCCTGTTCAAGACTCTGTTTCAAAAACTAAAACAAACAAACAAAAAACACTGGCAAGTAGCTCAGTAATAGAGCATTTGCTTAGCCCATGCGGGACTCTGGGTTCCAAACCCAGTACTGTGAGGGTGGGGCAGATTCTTGAAGGGGCCATTGGTGGTAGAAATACAACTGGAGTTTGTTTAAAGTCCTCTCCAGGGTTCAACACAGCTAACCAAAGGGACAAAGCACATGGGAGTCACCAAGGCCAAAAGACACAAGGACAAGTCCTTCTCAGTCTACCTCACTCCATTCCCTCCCTCTA